TTTATTCGCCCAAGCCTCGCAGCCAAGTAAGAATTTTAATGTATCAAAATTGGTCTATTGATAAACCTTTCACCAGTTGAATGTTACTATGAAGTGGATGTATCTGTACTGCTTAAAAGTGAAAATTAAGCAACTCACTTTCCTTGAGGATTATGTATGGCTACCTACAAATACTAATTCTTTATGGATTCCCTAACGGCTTTGAGCTCTCTTTGCTTGCCCAACAATGAATGAAAGTGCATAATTGAAAAGAAGTTCTTCAATTTGGGCAGCAGCTCATTTTCCCAGTATTCAGAATCAAAATTAATTCTGTCAACACACATTTCATTACCGTCTGAGAAATGTATTCAAGGATCACACCATGGTAACCCAGTGAGGGCCAACTTCCCTTGTACTTGAGCATAATAGAAATGGGTTTTCTTGAAAAAAAAAAATCAGCTCTGACTTTTTCAATATAAAGCCTGGATCTGATGATGCTTGATCAAGTGTATCCCCTTGTTTTGAATAAGGGCACTTAATCGCCAGCCATCCAAATTTGCTGCTTGATGATGGATCAAACACTTCCATCTGGGGTTGCACCAAGATAAGGAAATTTTGGATGAACAGAGATGTCAGCATCAAATATTGCAAAACCTGGTACTTGCTGTTGCATTTTTCTGGCATATATTGTTCATGCAATCTTTTCTTTTCCCTTCCCATGCGAAATAGCTTGTACATTAGACAAATCCTTGGGGCAAAAAACACTCTTCCGCATTGACTCTGAAGGCCTCTGAATCCTTGAATTAACTTTTCCAGAATTTGATACAGTAAGTCTGAACTGATGCTGTTTTAACCATTCAGCTGATTCACCTTGCAACGCTGTTCTCCGTTCTAAAGAGTTAGATTCATTTTTATCTATCACTATGTGGTCATTGAAGAAAGAAGTCAGGTCAGGCCGGTTTAAAATGTTCAGTGCTGTCAAATCAAAGGATGTCTTGTTGTCAATACCAACTGGGAGATCAATAAACTCAGAATACAGCACGGCAACATTGTCTGCAACAAAATTGCCCCTTATGCGGTTACCAACAAACCTTGTATTGGGTCAACCATGGTCTTGTAACTGATATGCCAAGCAAGCACCGAGCGGAACGTTTCCAAATACTTTGTTAATTAGGAAGGATTGTTTTTGATCACTTAATAAATAAGAAAATGGAGGAGGGATTTCTTTCCGTGTCAGAATATCGACCTGCTCCATCACATGGCACTTTGGAAGACCTTTTCTGATGGCAGGGCTTCTTGCATCGTACAGTTTACATTTGACAGGATCTCTCTCTCTTTCTCCATCACGACCGTTTTCAGCACGGGCATAATGAGTCCCCATCACAGGTAAAGGGCAGATGGAAGAAGCCCTGGGGATATGCCACGACTGACCTGACGACTAGTACAAGTAACGTCACGAGGGATATCTTTAATGTCTTAACATGAATAATCATTTATTTGATTTAACAACACCAAAACATTATTGCAGTCTCCACCGCTTCCTCCTTTACAATAGCAATGTGCTCTGGAAACTGCTGCTTTATCATTATCTTCCTTTAAAATTATTGCTAAATAATGCGGATCCTCACTCTTACGAAGCGATCGGTAGCACCGTGCTTTCACATAAAAATCGTCGGATTCCTCGCACGTGTAAATATCACGAACATACCCTTCTCGAAAAAACTTGTAGCTCTTTTCACCAGCATTTTTCTTTCCTCCCCGTGCTAGCCAGTCTGAACAAGTCAAAATACTGATTTGGGGGAAATTTCTCAAGGTTTTATACCAATTTCTGTTCTCAATAAAGTAATAACACGAACAACACTGCTCATGACTTCCACAACAGAAGCAACTAGCGACTAAATACAGGAATGGCTCCGACCTATAATTGGATGATAAAAATAGTAAAAGTTAATAAGTTGTATCTTAACTCTTTGCTCGTGAGTATCGTCAACGGCGTGTCTCGAAGTGGAACAATGAAATATCAATGCGAGTGAAAACACCGGTGTGTCAAACAAGAAATGGTTACTTACGTAGCGAGGGAAGGCAGCCTTTCTTGTTCAGCGAGGTCTTTCAGCGATATTCCGGCGATGAAAAAGTCATCGGCTGACTAGCTCCGCTGACTAAACTCATTCAGTAAGTTCAGGGGGACGATCAGAGTCTGGAGCCATTCTTGTATTTCACCGCTGACAGGAATAGCTCCGACTCTAATGTTTATCAATTTTTTTAAATATAATTTTTAATAATTTTTTAAACAATTTTTTAAAAAGATTTTTTAAAAATTTAAAATTAAAATAGTGAACAGCGCTGTGCGAACAATAGTTGTAAAATTTCTTTATTCTCTGACGCGTTTCGTCTAACTGTCGTAAACTTCTTCAGGGAGTTTTACAAGTTAACATTAAACGCCTATATTTATAAGCCATAGTAAGCGGCTATTGGGGGGGCTAATGACCATAAGAGCTTGGCTGGACCTACGAGCAGGAATAGGAAAAGTTGTGAAAATTTGAAAAATTTCTTTTGAAAATCTTTTAGGCAAGGCGTGAAATTTTTTTTGGGAGCCACACTTAAGTTGAAAATTCCAAATTTGAAAAAATGAAGAGATTTTTTACAGATGATGCCTGGAAAGCAGTTGGTAAATGAGGTTAGGACGGCTCGTGTACTTTACAGAAAATGTGGTTTATGTTATACTTATTCTTTCTTCAATTTAGGTGGTATAAATACCTTGTCTAAAACAGTAGTGTGACACAATAGCAAACGAGATATACGTGTTCCAATACAGCGTCACGTGATGGACAGCCTTCATTAATTTTAGAACAAGTTTTATAAAATCAATTTGCTCTTTCTTGTTATAGCCGAAAACTGTTCGAAGATTGGTTGTGCCATCGCTGCAAACAGTAAAGGTACTTCGACATGAATCAGTGCGAGAGCTACTGCCACTGGTTTGACTGGTAAGACGTTTTTCTTTGTTTGATTTGTTTTTTTTTCCTTTTTTAAGTCTGGTGGAGTTGTTAGAAATTACCAAGCAAAACTAATCCGCAACTTTCTTCCTATAGGTGTGGTGCAAAAACATATGAGGAGCCCGATGAATGGATTCGTCCTTCATGTGAACAATTACCTAGAAAATCAGTTTTCCACGAAAAGAACTCCCTCGACTGCGGCTAAGCCATATTTCTCCAGCAGAGCATACTGTAAATTAAAAACATGGGTCGCAGCGTCACGCAACATTGCATGATTTTCCAAACGTGACATGCAGTTGCTGCATTATTTTAAAACTTAGAAACTACATCGTCCTGTAGTAATAAAAGAGGGCTGCATTTGCAAACATTGTAGAGCTCAACATAAGAAGAACCTAATAAATCGCTCTTTCACTTTTTATCTCTGTGTATAAATTATTTAGCCAGAACGAATAAAAATTAATATTCACATGAGTTGGAGCCATTCCTGTCAGCGGTGAAATACAGGAATGGCTCCAGTCTCTTCTCGTCCGCCTAAATTGACTAAATGAGTTTTGCCAGCGGAGCTTGGCAGCGGATGACTTTTTCATCGCCGGAATATCGCTGAACGACCTCGCTGAACAAGATAGACTCTGCCTTCTCTTCGTTATGAAAGTAGCCATTTCTTGTTTGACACATCGGTGTTTTCACATTAATATTTCATTGTTCCGCTTCGAGACACGCGGTTAACAATACTCACGAGCAAGGAGTTAAGATATAACTTATTAGCTTTTACTATTTTTATCATCCAATCACAGGTCGAGCCATTCCTGTATTTAGTCGCTAGTACAGAAGCATACAGCCGCCATTTTGAACTGATGTAAACACCCAATTCAAGCCACGTGACTATTTAGCCGAATGTGTCTATCACAAGCTCGCACAAGCGGAAGTTTTACTCTTTACTCTGATATTGACACGATTTCCACAAAACCCTACACTTTGCTATGAGCACAGTTCAAGGATCAAGACATTGTTTTAGAGAAGTATGAGGTTATATGGAAATCTTTCCCTGTTTTTTTTTATGACCAATCACACCCAGATGCTCACTTTTTGTATCACGACCATGATGCAACGCAATAAGAGTGCGGACACCGCCTGATCAGAGCGCAAGAATAAGAAAGATCACAATTTCTATTAACGCATAAAAAGTTTCTGAGGTTACCCACAACATTATTCAACCACTATGTCCTCGATAGAAGTAACCGCGTTTCAATCCATTATCGGATTGCTATTCAGGAAAAGTAGAGATAAGGTCTTGAAGATTCTGAAAGATGGCGATGTAACAGATCAAAAACTCTTCTCCTTGATCGTCATGGAAATCGACGAAATCAGGTCAAAGTTGGACGCGTTATTGTGGAAGGATTTAAGAGCGAGTGTCAGTTTCTTTGAGGAAGGAATTGCGTTGTTGTATGAAGTGTTTAACATAGCAAACGCTAGAAGTGTGTGTGGCGCGGTAACAGCTCAAGCGGCTTGCAATGAAGCCTTTCCTCTTATTGAAGGGATCAGAAGGTTAGAGATTACTGGCCTGGATGAATCTGCCACAAGAAAGCTTTCCACTGCAAAGAAAAGATTCAAAGATGCTCGAAGGAAAGCAACAGAAGCTTTTCAAAACGAAGGCTTTGAAACATCAGACCGCATTCTGGCCATGAAGTATCGAGTAATGGCGACTATATTAGAGACAGTAGACAATCCCGCTGATGCACTGGCACCATGCAGAGTGTGTATAAAGGAACTAAACTCTCTGCCAGCAGTACAGAATAACTTTGATGTTCAGCTCAAGACAGGCATTCAGGCAGTTAGACGTTGGTTCAGTCAAGAGGAAAGAAGGAAATCATCTCTGCTGTCTGTCACGTGAATCGTGTCATCTACGATGTCACGCGAACATTCGGTGGAGATACACGCTTTTGGATCTGGCCCACTGTTGATACTGGAGACAACAAAATCAATCCATTGTATGACGCGAGAGTAACCGAAGTACTTGTTCAACATGGCATGGAGCATTGTTGTGTAACACCATGGTCATTTGGTCAGGAAGGTGAGAAGGAACACAAGCTAAAGAGCCCGATAGGTATCGCTACAAACTCCAGCGGAGAATTCATTGTCGGAGATTATGGAGATCGTTGCGTGAAGGTGTTTGACAGAAACGGTAAGCTTGTGAAAGTTTTCGGTCTCCCTACAGAGGACGTAATTACACCGTTATATATTAAAGATGTAGTCACGGACATGAATGACAATATCTTTGTGCTGACCATGCTGGGGAAGCCTGGTTTTCATGAATGTGAGAGATCTTGGTGGGTCTATAAACCTAATGAAATCGCTGACCTGCATCACAGGTTTCGTCTGAGGGGAAACGGTTCCAAACGAATATCGGTCAGAGATCCAGAGAAAGTAGTAATCTTGCGGGGCTTCAGAGTAGTGGAGGAATATGAGAGTAGTGGAAAATTTGTTCGCAGTTATGGAGAAAAAATATTGAGGTATGCGATGGATATCACTGTTGCTAATGATGGCCGTGTTATAGTATTGGACAATTATGATGATCCCTTCCGTAACAATTTTCTCCAAGCAGATTTGGTTGTTCACATATTCAGTGAACACGGCTACCGTCTGAACAATTTTACATTGCAAAGAAGTTTATTTAAATACACGAGCATTACATTTCAACCAGCAGGTGAACATGTCGTCGTCGCTGGTATAGAATTAAGCAGAAACCTCCTGGAGGTTAAAATATTGAGCAAAGATGGTGAGTTTGTCCGTAGTGTACAAATCCAAAATTGTGACGAGTTCTTTGAAGTAAGAGGGTTTGCAGTGAACAATGACGGACGCATTGCTGCTGTTACAACAAATTTTAAAAATGGTAAAGTAGTCGTTTTATAAACTGCTGTTTCTTGTTCCAAATTGTTCGCTAATTTTTTTGGCTTGGGAATTTGTTCAAAATAAATTTAGTCTCAGTAAAGCGTAATTCGGTAAAATCAGCTAAGGCACCCGTTTGTAACAAGTTGTCGCGTTCTGAATGCAAACCCACGTCCGAATGCTCATTTCAGAGCTTTTGTCATCGGTGAACATGCTGTTCTCGAAGTCATTCATATCGCCATTTAATCCAAAAAACTGTTAAGCTCTAATCGCTTATTTTAATGGTGTTGTGTCACAGTATGCTTACCCGTCACGACTACTTCTTGCTCTGACTCGTATGCAAATTTTTAAGAGAAACTTGATTTGCTTTTTGTTTCGATATTTGTCAAATCATTGATCGATGTTCACCAAATTGCTCGAAAAATGGGAACGGAAAAATTTACAGCAGGATACACATAGTTCAAGTTTGTTTAAGACTCGCCGGCGCGTACAATTAGGCAAAACATCAATACCATGGGTTGATGACAGATTTTAGAGTCTGTTCTGAAATATTTAGACGTTATTGACAGACGCTTGCATAATAAGATACTCAACAGTAGTCTGTGGAAGCGTTTTCGGGTTTTAAGTGCATTTTCGTCTTTGACATCGCGATTTATTTTAACTTGACCTTTCATCGTTGTAACATTATGCGCTCCGCAATCAAACAAATCATCACGAGCGAAATGAAACTGTTTACATTCCAGTGCGTAAACACTGAAGCGGGCGCCGATTGCAATGAGTAAAAGTGAACATCATTCACAATCTTAAACAGGATATTTTCCGGCAAAATTTTCGTACAGCGCCGTACTTCATTTTGCATCCATATATGGAGCTTTATCATTCAGTGTAGCACCAAAGATGTGCATGCATAATGAAGTTTGGGGCTGTGCGGAAATTTACCTTATTTTGCTTCTGATCCTCATCGAAGGTGATCGAGATAGGATCGAAGTTTCGAAGAAATCATCACCTACGATGCAGACACCAAATTTTTTACATTACGCAACGTAAACATGCTAGGGAGCGCTGATTGCAATGAATAAATTGGGAAGCGTATTAGTGAGTATTTGTTTCGTTACTCACTCAATGAAACATGCGTTTCGATGCCTTGAGTAAGTGACATTTCCTTCCCAGCTGATTCATCAACAACTCATATCAAGCAAATCTACTGCTACTGCTCGTTATTCAATAAATTCGCGAAGCGACGGGACATGCGTGAGTGCAACATGGTAGCTTTTTTCATTAGGTAAATTTTTCGTTGTCTTCTCGCCGCTTTTTCAAACCTAAAAGTTCTTTGTTTCACCCAACAATGTAAAACAAAGGAAACTTGTGGCACTGAATAACAAAGGCACACGAGTCGCGCATTTTTTTCAACCGTACGCACCAAAAAATCGTATATACGCGTCTGACTACCCTGCTCAGTACCCTGAGCGGTACTGTAATTTTCAAGAAGTCAGTTTCCCACTTCCTTTTTGAGATTAAATTTACAAATGTACCTGGCTTTAATCTACTAGTAGATTCTTTAAAGATTATGTAAGGTATCTGTTTTTTATTGGAATTGCACTGTTGTTCAAGAGTTTTCTAGTCATTCAATGATAACGGTGTAATAATGTATAGCTGGTAATCACCAAATCCTCTCTAAGGGTTTGACTAATTTCTTTACATTTTCTTTACATTTTCTTTACATTTTCTTGCTTTACTGAAGTAATTTACCAATTTCGTTCACCAGATCAATTTGTATTTATTGTAAATATCAGATAGTATACAGTTAAATTTTGTTGCTAATTTCTCTTTTGATGGGGGAGGGTGGGGAATGTGTATGGCATTTTAGGGATAACATCACAATTTTCCTTCATGGCATTTATTTGCTGCTATTCCTCTAGCCAGGTTCATAAGTTAGTTTCATAAAAGTAGTTTGAATACTTTCTTTTCATAGAATACTTTTATATTATTGTTTTCCTTAACAAAGGTGCTGTGCTTGTGATTGAAGGGACTACTTAGATATTGTAAGTGAAAAAACACTTGATCAATGTCCTGGGCATTGAAGCTAAAGCCCTCTATACTTTTTTCTCACAACAAATTACTTTATGATCACTTCATCCCAAAAGCCTTGCATTAAAGAGACTTAATCATTAGGTTAAATTAAAACAACAACAGCCCATTACTGGCTTAAACTCCAGTCAAACACTGTTATCTCAAAATCTCTTTTGAAACTCTTGACAAACTCCCAGACAAACTTTTCTAAAACGAAAACAGTATTTGAAATGCTTTAACATAATATAAGGAAATACTGTTAGTAGCAATCTTATTCTCTTCAATTTTGACCACAAATTTCAAGGTAATGATGTGTGATTCATTTGGTTTTGCATTCTTCAGAATTTGCATTTAATTTTTCAATATTGCTACTGAAAAGACCTGTTCAGAGAGTGCAATAATGTATGTATGTATGTATTTTTGTATGTATGTATGAATGACTGTAGGCCAACTTTCATAGAAGACCATAATAGCCTTCTTTAGCTTCTCCAAACAGTTGAAAGTCTTTGGAGACAGAAAAGATTATTTTAAGTGACTGACATCTTATGTACATTTTTTAGTCATTTTAGAATGTTCTGGAAGCTAATATAATATAACTAACATTTTCCTAAGCATTATAGATTGTAAGACAACACTTAGAAGAATGTTCTAGAAAGTTACAGAGCATTGCATTACACTACTCCAGTATTCATATGACATGACTAGTTGGCTTCTAGAAATTCCCAGAAACTCCCTATATGTAACTGCCCTCTATAATTACAAATTAGGGAGTGATCCTCAAAGTTGGAGAAGCGTGAATAAATCAGGTTATGACAGAGTCCATATATCGGTTGGGCACTCAAACAGATGAGCTATGAAGTCATATGTCACAATCTAAAATGTAATTGTGGGGTCTTTGCTCCCATACAGGAATGTATGAGCAACAAATGGAATAGATCTTGTTTTGGTCTGGGGATGATTGCCACTAATGGAGTGATTCTTGGCTTGCTCCTGGTGTATGCATGGCTTTGTAGCTCAGATGGTAGAACACTCAACTATGAACACTTACAGAGACATGGGTTCAAACCCTGTCAAAGCCTGAATTGTTTCAGGCTTCTTCTTGTGGAATTGGGCTTTTCAGGGCCAATACAAACACATTTTAAATGAACAATGTGAATAAACACTAAAAATATCTTAACTGGCCAGCTGCAAACCAGTAGGCCAAAATAGGAAGCACGGCCAACTATTCGACCTTAACATAACCAAGAAAAAACTTGGTGAGGAGCAGGGTGGAAGGCTTGAACCTGGAACCATCTGATTACAAGACCAGTGCCTTAATCCTTTAATTCCCAAGATCTGATTGTTAATTCTCTCCTCTTGTTGCTACACAATTCCATGTAAATTAGTGACAAGAATCTGGTGTTAGATCAAGAAAAAAAACTTTCTGATAAGTTTGAGTATTCTCATTAACTGTTTGCCAGAAAACGTAGGGATATTGTAGGGAGAAGTAACATGTTGGTCACTTCTGGGGGTTAAAGGGTTAACCACTCAGCTACACTGCCTCACTATGTCATTAATTTTTTTTGCAGAGTGAAATTACATACCATAATACCTTAATAAATCTGAAACATATCTTGTGAAACAATAAATTTATTTTTCCTTATAGTACTATTTTTAAATCAAACTGAAAAAAAAAATTGGATCAACTCTTTCTTTAGTCTATCATAGATTCCCAAGAGTTTACAGGGAAGTTTTCATAATGAATTCCTCGAACATTCATAGAATTATTGTTAATTTTTAGTATTATGGGTTGGAAAGCATTTTCTAAGTTGGGATGTTACTTTATTGTATTATAAATTTAAAAAATTATACCAATGCGCTTTTGTATCTATAGACACTAGCTATTAAAGAAGGATAAAATATAATTATTTCATTGAGTGTAAAATTATTTTATCACAATCAACCAGTGATGTTTAGTTGCTTTTTCAACTATCAGTGTCAAAGCAAAACCAAGAACAGAAAATAAAGATTGCTCAAGATTGATGATTATGAAATTCTGATTGTTTTAATTGTATCTTCCTAATTTTATTAATTACTTTTGTGATTAATATTGATATATAATTTTGTCTTTGGCTAAGAATGATTTTTGGGATGAAATTTTCTCCAAATTGAAAACTGATCTTCACCTTAATGAGTCTTGCTCTTCATCTTATCCTCTGCAATCTTTAAGGTTGACTGGTCATTAACTTGAAAAAAAAGGAAACTAATAGTGACTTTAATGATCAAGAATCTCTTTCTTAAATAAAAACTTGTTAATTGTTTTGTCACAAGGGCAAAGAAGGGAAATAATCTCAGTCCCCCACAGGGGATTGACCCCTGGAACTTCTGATGTCAAGTAGGTACAGTCAAACCGGTCTTACATGTAAGTAGCACTATATTAAGTGGTCATCCTATATTAGGTGGTTGGTTGTCAAAGTCCCAAATATTTTCTCTTAACAACTGTAATTTTCACTTCCGTTTCGTGTTCGTGGTCACCTCTAACTGAATCTTAGAGGCAGGTTTGTATTATCTTCCACCTGCATTGAATAGTCACTTATAGCACAACCACTAATTAAATAAAAATAAGAAAAATCTCTCAGGTACAATGTATTCCATGTATATCTCCCCAAATCAATGTAAGTACTCTGAGTTCAAAAATGACCTCAACATTGCGGTTTACACACAAACATTGGGCAAGTCATTTGCTCATCAACTTGTATTAAGCTTTGACATGCTGCCATTCCCTAAGGGTGACTGCTTAATACAGGTTTGACTACATCTTGTGTACTTTTATGTTCTTCATCCTCAGCATATTCATGAAAAAAACTTTTACCACCTTTCTTTAACCCTTTACACCCTAATATTAGTATGCATATTCTCCTAACTATTCCCTATACAATTCCTAAGGTGCTAACAAGGAGAATTTGTTCAACAATCAAGAGCTTCTTAAGTTGGTGATCATTTCTTTTATTCTCATGACCTTGATGTGTGATTTAGGGGGTGATATTGTAAGGAGAATTAGATGCTAATCACTCCTAGGGGTCATGCAATCAACAACACCGCCTTCCTATTCTTTTTTATTCACTTACTTATTTTTAGGAATTAATATTAAAATCATGTGGAGGGGACATATTTTAAACAAATTAGCTAATAAAGGCAATTTTCTATTCTAGTATTCAATTCTATTATTATTCTTTGATGATAAGGATTACATGCCTTCCACTGTGTTTGAGCTTAACTTCTGAGGAGGAATTGAAAGGAAATTACTACAATGAAGAGATTTGTGGATTCTGTACAACAAGAAGTGAGGCAGCATTAAAGTTGGTTATTAACAAAAAATTCTTAAAAATGTATGGCATATTCCTTCTTCTTGGTTTGCTATTTATGTGTGGAGTTCGCCCGCAGAACAGGCGTGATTTTAACAGGCATTTTCTTAGTGAAAGTTAAAGCTGCCGTCTCTGACTTTTTCAGCAGTGGAAGGCTCTGGAAAGAAGGAAATATTTACCAAGGGGGTGGGCAATAATCAAAAAGACGGAGAGGGGAGGGGGTGGGGCAATAGAAATTTCTTGTTGTCTTTCCAAAGAGTGTCCCCATATCAAACAAGCTTTGCAGAGCTTGTAACAATACCTTGCCTTAGTAAAAAGCCTTTACCGCAGGCAAGTGTGTGGGATTTCTTATTTAAAAAGCAAATATTCCAAAGCAAAGAAGTGTCTACGGAAAAAAGGGTCAGTTGTGGCATGCTGGTTAATTGAAGACCAGTTAGTGCTGACAAAACATACTGAAATCTAAGGTAAACAGTTATATATTATGATGACTAGAGACAACGAATGGAAGAGCTACATATACACAGTAAAACAATGGTATGTAGTCACCCGTTTCACCAGGGTAATTTACATATATGCCAACTCTCCAGGATTATCTGTGAGTCTCCCGCACAGGTGACCAAAACTCCCGAATAAAAGGAAGTTTGGATCAGTTGCCCTCAAAAAACTTCAATTTAGTCTCCATTTGTTCCAAAATTTCAAAATCATCTGGCTTCTAATGCTTGTATTACGGTTTCTGGCTTCATTTTCTTGTGTGATGCACGTTGTTTGTTACAAACAAAAAAAGAAGAAAAATTTCTTGTTTGAAGTCCCTGATAGATAGATCCACGTTTTTCTCTCGAAATTGATCGGTGGGGGGCAGGGGGGGGAGGAGGAGATAGGGAGTCCGAATCAGAAAAAATTTTTTGGGGTGGGTCACATTGGCAAATCCGGTTGGGTGGGGGGGGGGGAGGGTACTGGTCTGGAAAAAAGTCTCAAGATTTGAGATCTCCAGAGATTGGCATCTCTGAATATGGGCATTATTAACTGAACTGATAATGTAAATTAGCTATAGTAAAGAATTTCAAAGCTGACGTTTCAAGCGTTAGCCCTTAGTCACAACTTCAGTCTTGGAAAAACCTCCAATCGGTCATTTTACAGCTATGAACTTAGTTGCCAAGCTTTTGATTAGGACTGAGGCTGAAGGTGACCTTGATGTAATAGAGACCAGTATCTAGTTCGCATGATAACAAAGTAATATACATTTGAAAAGAGGCAACGTTGGTATCATAACAAGGTCACCCTTGGCCACTCCTGTTCAAAGGCTTGGCAACCAAGCATGCAACTTCAAAATGGAATATTCATATGTCAGCGTGTGTTCGTCGAGATATGAAGCACGCGGGAAGTTTGGAGAGCATGAAAGATGCTTCATATCTTGATGAACGCGCAGCTGACGTATGAACAAATTGTTTTATAACATTTTCAGACCAATGGAAATTTTTTTCTCTCGAGGGATTTGTTTGCTGACGTCATGAGTATGCATATTAGGAACATGAAGCGCGCTCGTGCAATTGAATTTGATTAAACAAATTTATTAGCTCTGTTATAAATGAAGTTAGTTGATGAATACCTCCGTGTTAAATAAGAGAATGTGTGGTAGTCTAACCACCCTAAAGGGATAAACAAGGAAGAATTTTGCACAAACAATGTGACTTGATTGAGTATATACTCAACATGTTACAGCAGAATTGTGTAGAGGTATAACTTGTCATTCCGCTTTGCAAAATACACTCAATGCACATTTTTTATTTGATTGCCCGTTCTTAAAGATCATCTAAGGAGAGGACAGCAACAGGGCTACTCCTTGTCTTAGAGTTTTAACATGGATGAGATGCAAATGCCGTTCGGACTTCTGTCCAGGCGCACTCTCGGCTTATACTCGGCTTATAAATAACTCGGCTTATAAATTAATCCATGCTTATTTGGTGTTCATTGGCAGAAATATTGGACAAGATGGCGGCCGCGCTTGCGCATTTCGTCCACAATGGCGTCCAAATAATATAGGAAACTGTATGGAAATTTGTAAAATTTCTAAAATATAACAATCAGGAGCCCATGGTCCCGTCTGCTCTCGATCGAGACATATTCAGTACTGATTCTGGTATTCATCAACCCTCACAGTGACTCGATAAATAAAACCACTTACTTCCCGAGCCAGTTCTTTTGTCATTGTTCATTGACCTAAGTCACCATACAGTTCTTCAAAATCCGTCGTTCTCCATCCCAAACACTCGCCTATTACAGGAAAGTGCATCAATGAAGTCAACTGCTCTCGATCGAATTGACTGCTACTGAGTTCGAAGCGTCAAAATATCCTGTAAAATTGGCATTTCTTCCCATCAAAAAACTTCCCAACGCGCCAGAATATCCCTTATTTTCCATGTTGAGTAAGTGACGAGACGCCATGTTGAAAATTATGACTGAAATGGTTAAACACGAGCAACGCTGATCTTCGAATCATCGGCCATATTTGTTTATGTTCTTGCTGGGAAATAAATTAGTTCTCAGGTCCTTTCCGGAATAAAAATATGCCAGGCGTTAAATGCAAATTCAAAATTTCAAAGTCTTGGCGCAAAAATTTAATAAAAGCAAATCAAAATTCTGACATCATGTCATCGCTCTGCCTCGAAAAATCCCAAAGATTTACTTGCAGGTCTCCTTTTCTTTTTCTTTTCATCAAATAGAAGATCTGCGGTGCCCAAATTGCGTAAGTCATGGTACGAAACACGCTTCTTTGCAGGTCGAACCGTGATCGCCGCCATATTGAATTCTCTTGATATTCTATTGTTCCGGAGTGTAATACGATATACCGCTGATAATTGTTAGCGGGCTCGAAATGTCCTTGATTTCTGGCGATGTGTTAAATGCACTGAATGCTTTTTTTCCTAAAACTCTTAACTATAAGCTGAACCCCCCTATTTAGCTCAAATTTTGCTTATCTCTAGCTTTAATTTCCATAAAAATTGCCCAGCTTATAGCCGAAAAAAATACGGTAAATCGACGTCATGTTTTTGTGAGCGTTCAGTGCTTAATAAACAATCTTGGTTTTGGACACTTCAACTGGGTACTTGGAACACCACTCCGACGTATACCAGCCAACTAACCTCTATTTGCATGGGTCCGGAAAAGGTCTCCTAAAGGGCATTTTACTGTTCTTAAAATTTGCGCTAAAATCAGTATCGTTGAGCTGCATCAGAGCTGTTGGGATTGAAAATTCATACCCAAAGTTAAGTACCAAAAATTTGTCTCGAACAGTTTTCCGTAGCTCGAAGTCACATCACAAAGACCCCTTCTCAATCCTGATAACGCAAATGCATATTACAAGTACCTTTCGTTTTTATTTAACTCTTCGACCCCGTAAGAGTGACTAACATTTAATTTCTCCTTACAATGTCACCCCTGAATCACACATTAAGGTCACGAGAATAAAGGAAATGATCACCAACTAATGGAGCTCTTGATTGTTAAACAAATCTCCTTGTTAGCAGCTTAGGAAATGTATGGGAAACGGTAAGGAGAATATGTATACTGATGTTAGGGAGTTAAGGGTTAAACTGCAGCTTTCTTTTGAAGATCATTGCTTTACTTTATTCTAGTCTTTTTTTCTGTTGATAGCAAGAGAAACCGAGCCTCGAATAGGAAATAACCTTACACTCCATGAATGAATGTGACAGAGCGTTTCATTTCACTTTCCCAAAAAAGAAAAAAATACCTTACCGGTCCCGAGTAAATACGTAAACAGAAAATAGAAACGTTTTTGACCATTTTCTTAGCCTTTTTTTCTTTCCTTAATGTTTATTACGACTAAATCCTCCGCCAAGTATGTTGTACTATTAAATATCGGGGGAATTAGCTATCGAGCACATCACGCCCGGTGAAAGGCACTCAGACTCTCGAACTGTCTTTTTCTGCTTTCTTTGATTGCTCGGTTTCCTAGAACACAATTCCACTTACATCCAAGCTTATTTCATTACGTAAAACTCTGGTTAATCTCTTAGGCTCTCATGCTTTGAATCTCACCAGATACTTCGTCTCCAACTGCGGAATTTTGACTCTACTCGACTGCACTCTGTTTACATTCTTCCACTCTCTTTTAAGTAAACGCTAAAGAACATGCTTATATATTCACTACTGTCAGATACGTGTGGGCAAGCCAGCTGGCTGACCCTGGGAGATCAAACATTTGTTGTTAGAATGCTAAACCAAACAATTTGACGAACAACAAAGTACTTAGTCTTAATGCTTCCGATCAACCGAGTCAACTTCTGACTGGGTCAGTAAAAACAAGAACTTTCGTGTGGGTCCCGAAACAAAGTCGGTAAACAAACTAAGCACGTCCGCACGAGGAAATTAGAAAATTTTCACCATGTCTCGTTATTTTGGAAATGCCTTGAGAAATGACTCACATTGTCATGTGATTATAGCTTGCTTTCAGTCCGTCCCCATCACAAATTTGTAAAGAAATCACTGGAATGTGGTAATTCATCAACATACTTAAACTCCAGCTGATTACAGGAATATACAGACTTTCAAAGCTCATCATTTTTTTACAGACTAAGATCACATAATAACATAGTAAAGCTGAATAAACGATTATGAGTTTACAAGATACTTCAATAATATTTGCTTCTACAAGTGCAAAAGTATCAGTTTCAAACATTTAACTTGCTAAGATATGTTCGAACAACTGAGAAGAGGTGAAACTAGAGAAAGACATTTTAGTGGTCAACAGCTGTTTTAGTAATCATGTATCCTGTTTATTTGAAACAAGCAGAGACATGTTGCTTTTCTCAGTTCAATCATGCTGGCAAGAATTTCGTTAGGTATAACCTTAAGGTGAAAGGAGGAAATTTGGAACGGACGGAACTAACGTCCGACGTATGGATACGTTACTACAATAAAAGTGAAGAAGGCAAAAGAAGTAATTCTTGGCAAAAAATTTGAAGGGATTCATTAAGAGCGTGGATGGTCAAAATCTTATTTCCTGAAAGCCCTCTGTGTTAAATAATTGAAAAGTTTTGAGAGAAAAAAAACAGCAACAACTAACACTCCAACAACAAAGGCAAACACCAAAATCTGACACGAACTTTATGGGTTTCCTTTTCGGATATGTTAATAGTTTCCCATTCCACGTCTAACTGTGTAATAAGTCTAATCTCTAGAATGGCTTTAGAATCCAGTAAAGAAGTGAACGTGGTAATCCCTGTTTTCCTACGGCCGGATAAGGAGCAGAATTGAGTAAACTGACAACACAGGCTACGGCGGTAGCCCAAGTTCGTACAATGAGTCTACACAATCCGAGAGAAAAAGCCAAGGGTACTAAAAACGAGCAAGGCGGCTGTAAAACAGTCTACAAACCCGCCCGATAATAGTAAGGAGTTTGTTTCATTTAAAACTCATATGACGGTATAAACCGTCGGGATTACGGGATTGAGAGATAATTTTAATCGAGGTCGCGGAATTGAAGAACTCTATTGGAAACCCCTCTCATATCGCTCAGATATTTGGATAAAGAATACGACTGCTTATTACCATACAAATCGTTATTTTCTTCAAGATGACAATTTAAGTGCACACAGTTAACATTATTAACGTTAACTGTGTGCGCTTGAGCCCAATAGTGTTGATCAATATCAAGTTAGTTCGCTCTACCTCTGTCCGTGCTAAACATCGCAAGTGACAACGTGAAGTACCAGCGGTGCTGAAGCTCATTCCAACCGGAGATTACGAAGTCCGGTCCCATCGAATGAATCCAGTTTTTATGTTGCTAAAAATTGAAGACCTTCTCTGATATCTTATCTAAGCCCCTCCCAAAAGAAATTTGATCAGAGCGCAAAGATAAGAAAGACCACAATTTCTATTAGCTCATAAAAAGGTTCTGAGTTTACCCTCAACTTTACTCAACCGCTATGTCCTCGATAGTATTAACAGTGTTCAGACCCACCATCGGTTTGCTAGTCAGCAACTGTAGAGATAAGGTCGCTGAGATTCTGAAAGATGGCGATGTAACAGATCAAAAATTCCACTCCCTGATCGTCAAGGAAATCGAGGAAATTAAGTCAAAGTTGGACGCGTTATCGAGGAAAGATTTAGAAGCGAGCATCAGTTTCTTTGAGGAAGGAATTGTGTTGTTGTATGAAGTGTTTAAGATAGCAAATGCTAGAGGCGAGTGTGGCGCGGAAACAGCACTAGCGGCTTGCAATGAAACAATTCCTATTATTGAAGGAATCAAAAGGTTAGAGCTTACTGGCCTGGATGAATCTGCTGCGAGAAAGCTTTCCGCTGCAAAGGAAAGATTCAAAGATGCTCGAAGAGAAGCAACGAGGGCCTTTAAAAATGAAGGCCTTAAAACATCTGACCGCATTCTGGCCATGAAGTATCGAGTCATGGCGACCATATTAGAGACAGTAGACCATCCCGCTGATGCAGTGGGACCATGTGGAGTGTGTGTAAAGGAACTAAACTCTCTGCCAGCAGTACAGAATAACTTTGATGTTCAGCTCAAGACAGGCATTCAAGCAGTAAGAGGTTGGTTCAGTCAAGAGGAAAGAAGGGAAATCATCACCAGTGTCTGTCACGTGAATCGTGTTATCTACGATGTTACGCGAACACTCGGTGGAGACACATACTTTTATACCTGGTCCCCAGTTGATATTGGACACAACAAAATCAATCCATTGTACGACGCAAGAGTAACCAAAGTACTTTTTCAACGAGACGTGGAGCACTGTTGTGTAATACCAAGGTCAATTGGTCGGGAGGGTGAGGAGGAACACAAGCTGAAGGACCCGAGAGGTATCGCTACTAACTCCAGCGGAGAATTCATTATAGGAGATTGTGAAGGTTGCGTGAAGGTGTTTGACAGAAACGGTAAGTATGTGGATCATTGCCGTCTCTTTACCGATGACGTAAATACACTGTCAAATGTTCTAGATGTAGCCACAGACACGAACGACAATATCTTTGTGCTGACCGCATTGGAGTACCTTTGGTTATCTTACATGGTTTATAAACTTACTAAAACCGCTGACCTGCATCGCAAGTTTCGTCTGAGGGGAGGGCGCAGGTATTCGTACCAAAGACTGTCAGTCAGTGATACAGGGAAAGTAGTGACACTGAAGTTCGGGAAAACAGTGGAGGAATATGACAGTAATGGAACGTTCGTTCGCAGTTTTGGAGAAGAAATATTGAAGTCTGCAAAGGACATCACTGTTGCTAATGATGGCCGTGTTTTAGTACTAGACATTGATGAGGATTCCTTCCTTAATGTTTTTGACAAAGAAGATTTCTCTGTCCACATATTCAGTGAACGCGGCTACTATTTGAACCAGTTTAAAGTGCAAAGAAATTACTTCTATTACACGAGTATTACATTTCACCCAGCAGGTGAACATGTCGTCGTCGCTGGTAAAGAACCAGATAGAAACCTCCTGGAGGTTAAAATATACAGCAAAGATGGTAAGTTTGTTCGTAGTGTACAAATCCAACATGTGTTCTATCAAGTAAAAGGGATTACACTGAACAATGACGGACGCATTGTTGTTGTTGCAAGCCAATGTGAAAATAGCAAAGTAGTCGTTTTATAAACTGCTGTTTTTGATGTTGTCTTGTTGTTCCAAATTGTTCGCTAATTTTTTTGGTTGAATTCATTCTTACGAAGAGGTCAATTTCCCATTTCCTTTTTGAATTAAAATTTCCAAAATGTACCTGGCTTTAATTTAGATTCTTTAAAGATTATGTTAGGTTTTGGTTTTTTTGGAATTACACTGTTGTTCTAGAGTTTTCTAATCATGCGTTAATAACGGTGTAATAATAATATAGCAGGTAATCACCATAATGTACACCAAGTTCTATCCAAGGATCTGACTCATTTCTTTACATTTCCTTGTTTTACTGAAGTAATTTACCAATTTCATTTACCAGATCAATTGCATTTATTGTAAATATCAGGTAGTAGACAGTTAAGTTTTGTCGCTGATTTCTATTTTGATGGGGGAGGGGGAAGGGTGGGGAATTTGTATGGACTTTTAGGAATAGCATCACAATTTTCCTTTGAGGATTTTATTTGCTGCTATTCCTCTTAGCTAGGTTCATAAGTTAGTTTCATAAAAGTAGTTTGAATACTTCCTTTTCTTAGAATACTTTTATATTATTGTTTTCTTTAACATTATGGAGTTTTAAGATAGAATCTACATAGAGTGAAACAGAAGACTGATAGCCAAGGTTATGTGCTTGTGATTGAAGGGATTACTTAGATATTTTAAGTTAAAATATACTTGATCAATGTCTTGGGCATTGAGGCTAAAAGCCCTCTATACTTTTTACTTCACAACAAATTGCTTCATGATCACTTCATTCCAAAAGCCTTCCTTAATTGCTTTAAGAAACTTAGTTATTAGGTTAAATTAAAACAAGAACAGTCCATTACTGGCTATTAGCCCAATCACCACCAATATAAAAAAAATCACAGTAAACACTGTTATCTCAAAATCTCTTGTGAGACTGTTGACAAACTTCTAGGCAAACTCTTCTAAAACAAAAACAGCATCTGAAATGCTATTAATTTAACATTAGCAAATATTGTAGCAATTTTTTTTTTTGACCATTTTGACCATGATTTTTAATTCATTTGATTCTGTATTCTTTAGAATTTGCATTTTATTTTTCAATATTGCTGCTAAAAAGACCTGTTCAGAGAGTACAATCAATGTATGTATGTATGTATTTTTGTATGTATGTATGACTGATTGTAGGCCAACTTCCAAAGCAAGCCACAATAGCCTTCATTAGTTTCTCCAAACAGTTGACAGTCTTTTGAGAAAGAAAAGATTATTTTAAGTGACTGACGTACATTTATTAGTCATTCTAGAATGTTCTGGAAGCTCACAATTTGAGTAACTTTTTTCTAAGCATTATAGATTGTAATACAACACTTAGAAGAATGTTCTAGAGAGTTACAGAGCATTGCATTAGATTGCTCCAGAAACCATATGACATGACTAATTAGCTTCCTAGAAATTTTCAGAAACTCCCTGTTTGTGGCAACCCTCCATAATTATAAATGAGGGAGTTAAAGAAGCCTGAAAAAAATCAGGATTTGACAGAGTACCAATCTGTACCTCCATATATCAGTTGGGCACTGAAACAGATGAGTTATGAAGTCCCATGTCACAAGCTAGGAAATTGTTGGGAGATCTTTGCTCCCATACAGGAATGTCTGAGCAACAAATGGAATAAATCATGTTCTGATCAGGTAATGATTGCCACTAATGAAGTAATTCTTGGCTTGCCCCTGGTGAGGGGCTTTGTGCTAGGAACACTCACAGAGCTTTGGATTCAAACCCTATCAAAACCTGAATTGTTTCACACTTCTTCTTATGGAATTTCTCTACAACACTTCAGCTGAAAATATCACTGGATTATTTCCAGTGTATAATTAACATCAATAATAACTCAAATTGACCTTTCCCTTATTGGGGCTTTTTAGGGCCAATAGAAACAAATTGTAAATGAAAACTGTAAATAAACTTGGACTTTAAATATCTTAACTGGCCAGAGGCAAACCAGTTGGCCAAAATAGGAAGCATGGCCAATGATTTGACCTTAAGGCAACCAAGAACAAACTCAGTGAGCAGCAAGGTGAAGGGCTTGAACCTGAGACCAGCTGATTGCAAGACCAGTGCCTTAACCCTTTAACTCCCACAAGTGATCAAGACATAATTTCTCCTCACAATATCAATACAATATCAAGCAGACAAGCGATGAGAATAAAGAACAATATCAATTAGGAGATTAATAGTTGATCCAGTATCAAATTCTCTGAACTACCATCACCCACCAACTACCTAGTAAAGAGAATTACTAATGGGATCTTGGGAGTTAAAGGGTTAACTCCCAAGATCTGATTGTTAATTCTCTCCTCTAATTGCTACACAATTCCTCCTAAATTAGTGAAGAGAATTTGATGTAAGATCAAGATAAAAACTTCTCTCTGATAAGTTTGAGTATTCTCACTAACCATTTGTTAGAAAACCTATGGATATCTTTGGGAGAAGTTACATGTTAATCATTTCTGGGAGTTAAATGGTCAACCACTCAGCCACACTGCCTCACTATGTCATATTTTTTTGCAGGGTGAAATTATATACCATAACACCTTTAAAAAATCTGAAACATATCTCAAGAAACATTTAATTGCTTTTTGCTTAGCGCTATTTTAAAATCAACTAAACAAAAAAAGAGATCAACCCACTCTTAAGTCTATCTTAGATTCCCAAAAGGTTACAGGAAACTTTTTATAATGATTTCCTCACACATTTATAGAATTACTGTTAGTGTTTAGTATTAATAATAGTATTCTAAATTTCAAAAATTATGCCAATGCACTTTTGTATCTATAGAAGCTAGCTATTAACACAAGGTAAAATGAAATTTTTCATTGAGTGTCAAATTATTTTATCACAAGCAACCAGTGAGGTTTAGTTACTTTTTCAATTATCAGTGTAGAAGCAAAACCAAGTACAGAAAATAAAGATTGCTCAAGTTTGATGATTATCAAATTCTGATTGTTCTAATTGTATCTTCCTGATTTTATTTATTTCTTTTGTGATTAATATTGATATATAATTTTGTCTTTGGCAAAGAATGATTTTGGGGATGAAAGTGTCTCTAAATTGAAAACTGATCTTTACCTGAATGGGTCTTGCTCTTCACTTATCCTCTGCAATTTTTTAGGTTGACTGGTAAGTAAGTTGTAAAAAAGGAAACTAAAAGTGACTTAACTGAACGAGAATCTCTTTCTTAAATAAAACTTGTTAATTGTCTTGTCACAAGGGCAAAGAAGGGAAATAATCTCAGTTCCCCACAAGGGATTGACCCCTGGAACTTATGATGCTAAGTTAGGCCACAACTAAAAATTTTACCACCTTTCTTCAACAACACAGCCTTCTGATTCTTTTTATTCACTTATTTCTAAGAATTAGGAGAGTTTACTTGGATGTTTGACATAAATCTATTTTTCTCCTGCTCTATCAAGGTACACAGCTGATTTTCTGATTAACAATTTACATTAATTTAACCCACAGCCAACATTCTGTGGAGAGGACAATTTTTGAAACAAAATTAGCAATTTAAGGTGACTTTCAATATTCTTTCCATGCCTTCCACTGTGCTTGAGCTTAGCATCTGAGGAGAAATTGAAAGGAAATTACTACAATGAAGAGACTTGGGGATTCTCTACAACAAGAAATAATAAAGCATTAAACTTAATTTTTAAAAAAATTTCTTTAAAATGTATGACATATGCCTTCCTTTTGGTTAACCATTGATTGTAGTAAGCCCGCAGAACAGGTGTAATTTTGGCAGGTGAGTGGTTAGTATTTTCTCAGTGAAAGTTATAGCTAGCTGCCATCTGGCTATTTCAGCAGTGGAAGGCTTGAGAGAATGAAATTTTTAGCAAAGGGTTGGGCAATGATCAAAAGGAAAGAGAGGGGAGGGGGTGGGGTTATAGAGATTTCTTCTCATCCTTCCACATAGCCTCCCCAAATCAAAAAAGCTCTAGAGAGCTAGTAACATTAACTCACCTTGGTGAGAGGCATTTACTGCACCCAAGTGTGTGCACTGCCTTATTGAAAAGCAAATATTCCAAAGCAAAGAAGTGTGGAAAAAAAAGGGAAAGTTGGAATCCAAATAAATACAAGACAGTTGGGGCTGACAAAATATACTGAAATCTTGAGGGTAAAAAGGTTATATATTGTGTACCTTGGCCATGTATCTCATTTGTTTAATTTTCTATATTTTTTGGGAAGTTTATAACAATTACTCAGGTGTGGATTTGCAGTGGGTTTGATGGCTGTTGTCAAGATAAGGTACTACATGGACTCAAAGTATTCATTCTGAGCATTTCAAATTCTTTTCCTTTTCGTTTTTGGAACAGATGACAGTGTAGATTCACCAGGATTCTGTTGATGGAAAACAAACACAATGTTTCATTCAGTAATTATTCTGTGCTGTTAAGACTTGAAGGGGGAAAATAATTGAAAGACTGGGAGAGTTGACTTGCTATCACAAGGCTTAAAGCGATTAAATAACTAAAGTATGATTTATACTGATATACTGATATACTAATACCTTTTTGACAATCTAAAATCAAATTCTCTTGACTGATGTTTATAAATTTCTTTTCTTCCTGGTCCAGAGAATTTGGCGATAGATTCAAACATTAAAGCTGCAGTGGATCAAAATTGTAACAAGTAATCACTCCAGGACGAAAAAATTAACCTTCATTGTTCTTATAATTACCTGAATAATATGAAGCTGCACATTTTGTTCAGCTGAAGATGAAATATTATTTGTACTCTGACATACTCCTGAGAGCTGCAAAGAGAGAAACCACAGTCTGGTATGATTATTCTGGGTGATATGCAAACTCTACAGTTTACACCTAGAAGTATATAACTTTAAACAGATCATCACAACTTCCAAGGTCCATGTACAATACTGTGAATCACATTACACTCAAGCAATAGAAGACATTCTCTGTGTTTGAATAGCTTTGAATAAACATGAGAGGGGTTGAAAGGATTCC